AGTAGAATTACTAGATCATATGGTAATTCTATTTTTAATTTTTTGAGGGACTGCCAATACTGTTTTCCACAGTAGCTGTACCATTTTACCTTTTCATTAACAGTGCACAAGGGTTCCAGTTTTTCTACATCCTCACCCACAGTTATTATTTTGTTTTTGTTTGTTTTTATAGTAAATATCTCTACGGGTGTAAAATGGTGGTCTTTTATCTATTTTACGTTAAGTTTCATAGATGGTGTGAGGTAGGAGAAGTCTCAATTCATCATTTGTATGGATTAGTTCTCCTAGCACCATTTGTTGAAAAGACTACTCTTTCTCCCACTGAATTGTTTTGGCAGCTGTGTCAAAAACCAATTGGTCATTAATGTATGGTTTTATTTCTGGACTCTCAATTCTTTTTTGTTTTTTGTTTTGTTTTTTTGTTGTTGTTTTTGTTTTTTTTTAATATATTTTATTGATTTTTTTACATAGAGAAAAGGAGAGAGATAGTTAGAAACATCGATGAGAGAGAAACATCGATCAGCTGCCTCCTGCACACCCCCCACTGGGGATGTGCCCGCAACCCAGGTACATGCCCTTGACCGGAATCGAACCTGGGACCTTTCAGTCCGCAGGCCGACGCTCTATCCACTGAGCCAAACCAGTTTCGGCTCAATTCTTTTTTGTTGATCTATATGTCTGTTCTTATACTAGTACCATACTGTCTTGAATACTGTAATTTATATTAAGTTTTGAAATCAGAAACTGTGTGTCTTCCAACTTTGTTCTTTCTCGAAATTGTTTTGTGTTTGGGTCCCTTGCATTCGCATATGAACTTACGGATCAACTTGCCATTTCTGCAAAATAAAACAGCAAAAAAAAAACACAGTTGGAATTTTTATGGACATTGCATGGATTTGGACTAGTCTTCCTATATTTTCATTTCTACTTTCCATCTTTGTCTTTTATCTACTTCCTTCTTATTTTATTTTATTTTTTAATTCCAGTTTACATTCAATATTATTTTGTATTAGTTTCAGTGAGTAGACAGACAGTCATATACTTTACAAAGTGGTCTCCCTGATATTTTATTTTTGTTAATCCTTACCCAAAGATATTTTTCCATTTATTTTTAGAGACAGTGGAAGGGAAGGGGTGAGACAGAGAGAAAGAAACATCAATGTGAGAGAGACACATCAATTGGTTGCCTCCCATATGTGCCTCGACTAGAGCTGGGGATCCAGCCTGCAACCAAGGTATGTGCCCTTGACTGGAATTGAATCCAGGACCCTTCAGTCCATGGATTGACGCTCTATCCACTGAGCCAACTGGCTAGAGCTCCCTGATATTTTAAACACCCACCTGGCACTGTACAGTTATAGCAATATTATTGACTATATTCCCTAGGGTGTATTTACATCCCCATGACTGTTTTATGACTGCCAATCTGTACTTAATCTCTTCACCTTTTTCAACCAGCCCCCCAACTCCCTCTCCCCTCTGGCAGCCATCAGTCTGATCTCTGTATTTATGAGTCAGTTTTTGTCTTCTTTGTTTGCTTATTTTGCTCTTTAGACTCCACCTGTAAGTGAAATCACGTGATATTTATCCTTCTCTGTCTGATTTATTTCACTTAACATAATACACTGTAGGTCCATCCACGTTGTTACAAATGTAAGATTTCGTTCTTTTTTTTAAGGACAAGTAATACTCCATTGTATATGTTCCACAGCTTTTTTATCCACTTGTCTATTGATGGCCATTTGGGTTGCTTCTATATCTTGGTTATTGTAAATAATACTGCAAGTCTTTTATCTATTTTATGAAACACTTTCTCATTCCCAGAATATGTTTATTTGTTTTAAGGATTTTGTTCTTATTTCATAGGAGCAATAGCTTTTCTTACCTTTAAGGCAGGGGTCCTCAAAACTACGGCCCGCGGGCCACATGCAAATACAAATATTATATTTGTTCCCGTTTTGTTTTTTTACTTCAAAATAAGATATGTGCAGTGTGTATAGGAATTTGTTCATAGTTTTTTTTTAAACTATAGTCTGGCCCTCCAACGGTCTGAGGGACAATGAACTGGCCCCCTTTTTAAAAAGTTTGAGGACCCCTGCCTTAAGGGTATTTATGATAGTTTTTTGTTTGTTTGTTTTGACATTTTCTCCTTTCTGTATGGTCTTTGTTTCCTACTGCTTTTTTCCTCTACATTGTTTTGGTTTTTGAAGGTGTTGAAGATGAATCATATGGCTGATTCTCTAAGAGTAGGGCATAACAAACTGATTAAAAGGTCCGAGCATATGGGGGTAAGGTTTGGCAACTGTGGAATTCAATTTATGGTTTACTGGCCTGGCTATTTCTCCAGATGAACCACAAATGCCAGTAAATTGTATAGCTCTTTATCTTATGTTGGTCAAGTTTTCTTGAGGATCATTTAATCTCCTGCCTGGAAGGTATAGGCTAGGCTTAGTGTTCTCAGAACCACTGTGAACAAAGTGTGTATGGAAACGTTCACTTAACCTTCCTGTTTTTCATACATCTTCCATGCCCTTGTTAGTGTCTCTTAGTTCTAAGACCTGTTTTATCCTCTCCAGAGAACAAACCCTCCAGCCTGTTGCTTGAGTGAGGAGGGCATTCACTGGAGGAGTCCAGAGTCAGAGAAGTGATCTGGACATCATTTTATTAGTTGTACATTATAAAGTTTTAAGATTTTTATCCATAAGCAACATATAGTGTTGTTTTGAATGTTGTCATAATTTACATAGATGTTAAGGAAATGTGCAGATTCTCCTCAATTTACAATGGAATTTCTTTCCGATAAACCAATTGTGAGTTGAAAATGTCCTGTCAAAAATGCATGCAAGTCACCTAGCCTACTGAACATCGTAACTTACTTAGCCTAGTCTGTCTTATACTTGCTTAGAACACTTAAGTTAGCCTATAGTTGGGCAGTTATCTTGAGTTTAATCTCAAGAGTAATTGCCTTCCTCTTTTCACCAGAAGCAGGAGACACAGATGGGTGTTTTTAGACATGATGGGATGTGAAAACCCAAAACACAATATTTAGAAAATGATAGCAACATAGTACATTGTAGAATATTGGTTATTTACCCTCATGATTATGTGGCTGACTGGGAGCTGTGGCTCACTGCCACTGCCCAGTGTCATGAGAGTATCATACCACATGTTGCTAGCCCAAGGAAGAGATCAAAATTCAGAGTACGGTTTCTAATGAATGTGTATCATTTTCCCACCATTGTAAAGTCAAAACATTGTAAGTGGAACCATTATAAGCTAGGGATTGTCTGTATACATTTCATATAACATGCATTTTCATGGAACACAAATATACCAACAATACATTTTTAAAAAATTCTTCCCTTATGATAGATATTTGTTTCCAAGATTTTGCTGCAAACACTTAAGCTTCAAATATTTCCCATACATGTCTCTTAGTGCACATGGGTGTTTCTCTTTATAGTCAGTAAAATTGTTTGGTTCTAGAGTGTGAGCCTTTTCATTTTTTTGTAAGATATTGCCAAAATGTTTTCGAAAGTTTTTAAACAACCAACTACAGGATATGAGAATTTGTAATTAACTTTTTTCCTTTATATTTTCCTTATTACAAACATAATACACTATAAGAAAATACATACAATAGATGTCCAATAAACTGCAATAAAATTTTCAAGCACAATCGAACATTGAGTGTTCCATAACAGATTTCTATGTGCCCCATACTCCCTTATTTTGTGTTAATTCTTGATTATCTCTTCTACCCTCACTGGATTATTTTGAAGCCAATCAAATATCATATGGTTTTATTTGTAAATAATTCAGAATGTATTACTAAGAGAGATAAGCCAGTGGTTCTCAACTGGGGACAAGTTTGTCCACCAAGTGACATTTGGCATTGTTTGTAGACATTTTTGGTTTTCACAGCTGGAAGGCTACTGGCATTTAGAAGGTAGTGGCTAGGATGCTTCTAAACATCCTATAATGTATAGGAGAGCCCCCAAAAAACTGAATTATCTGGCCCCAAATGTCTGTAGTACCAGATTAAGAAACCCAGAGAAAAGAACTCTTAAAAAATTATACACACAATGCAATGATTATATCTATAATATTAACAATAATTTCCTGACACTAAATGTCCAATCAGTTAAAAAAAATTTTCTTTCAAATTTGATTTTTTTATATTTGATTGGTTTGAATCAATATATAAACAAAGTCAACTAATTGGTTGATATCTTTTAAGTCTTTGCTAATATATAGCTTTCCTTCTTTTTTCATATGCTTTTTTTCAATCTTTTAATCCTCATTTGAGGACGTTCTGAGAGAGAGAGAGAGAACATTGATGTGAGAGAGAGATATTGATCCGTTGCCTTCTGTAATTGGGGACCAAACCCACAATCCAGGTATGTGCCCTGACTGAAAATCAAACTGATAACCTTTTGGTGGAACACATGACAGCGCTCAACCAACTGAGCCAGTGGATCTGGGTCACTTTTTTTTTTTTAAGAGAAACATCAATATGATAGCAAAACATCCATTAGCTGCCCACTGCACTCCCCCTACTGGGGATACAGCCTGCAACCTGGGCTTGTGCCTGGACTGGGAATCCCCAAGCCAGCAACTTTTCAGTGCATGGAGGATGCGACCATGATAAAACAACTGAGCCAGGACTTTTCATACACTGTTTTTATTGTTGAATAAAACAGGTCCCTTATACTGTATACTGTCCCACATTTTGTAGATACTCCTGATTATATCCTTGTCTACTTAAACCGTCTTTCAAACAATCAACTTCTGAACCTTTGTAAATCAAATTTGGTTCCCTCTTGAGTTTTCCCCATGAATTAGGATTCACCTTCTTGTGACTGCTTGTCACTGTCACTTATCAGTCTCCTTTGTAGCTTCCAAAAGTGTTGCTGCTGTTATCTTGCTCATTCTTTGTACTTGTGGGTTAAGCCTTAAAATTTTTTTTTCTGTTTCCTCTTATTATAGTAGCATTTGGGGATAGAGTAAAAGTAATCTTTGTCACTTTGCCTGGAAGTCTGAGATACTTTCAATGGTTCTTCCTGTATGTACTGTTGTACCAAAATTTATATTTCTAGGAATTCTAACTCTAAAGGAATTGTACTTCGAAAGTCATAAAAATAGCCCTAGCCGGCTTGGCTCAGTGGGAAGGGTCCCAGATTTGATTCCAGTCAAGGGCACATGCCTGTGTTGCTGGCTCCATTCCCAGTAGGGGACTTGCAGGAAGCAGCCGATCAATGATTCTCTCTCATCATTGATGTTTCTCTCACTCTCCTTCTCCCTACCTCCCTGAAATCAATAAAGAAATATATTTTTAAAAGGAGTCATAAAAATATAGAGCCCCTATGGCTGTAATTATCCTTATGTGTAGCTGGTAAAACTATTCGACATTTACATATTTTATTTTATTTATTTTAAAGGCTCATAAAGTGGGAATCTATTTTTTAAAAAAACATTTTTTCTTTAATTTCAAAGAGGAAGGGAGAGAGAGAGAGAAAGAGAAACATCAATGATGAGAGAGAATCCTCGATTGGCTGCCTCCTGCATGCCTCCTACTAGGGATCGACCAGGGCATGTGTTCTGACCTGGAATCAAACTGTGACCTCCTGGTACATAGGTTGACGCTCAACCACTGAGCCGCACCAGCTGGGCAGTTACAACTTTTAATAGTTATTTTAATCCAAATTTACAGTTAGGAACTGGACATTTATTTTTCAAATAGGAAATAAATATACTTGTTATCGAATTTAGAAGGTATAAAAGGACTATATAGTTCCTATTCTTACCCCTCCAAAGCAGGCTTTCTTCTTGAAGGCAAATACTGTTAAGTTTCTTGCATATTCTTCAGAAATATTTTATGCATATGCAAAGATGGATGGATATATGTTTTTTAAAAAAACAGCTTTAAAATGTGTATTACATACAATAAAATTCAACAATTATAAATATCACTTTGAGTTTTGATAAATATATATAATTGTGCAATCTCTACTAAAGTCATGATATAACTTCCCACATTTTCATTGTTCTTTATAGTCAATCTCTCCAACTCCCTCCCTCCCTCCCTCCCCATGAACTATTATTGCTGTTTTCTGTCAATATAAATTTGCCTTTTCTTGAATATCGTATCAATGGAATCATACAGAACATAGTCTTTTCTTTTTCAGACTGTAGTCTTTTTATGTCTGACTACTTTCACTTAGCAGAGTGCTTGTGAGATTAATCCATATCTGTACCTTGAACCAAGGAAGTGTTGAATGAGTGTGTTAAATGTATTGGCCTAAGTTTGGGTTAGGTTTTTTAAGTTATATCATATTAGCTCATGAAATGGACTAATTAATTTTATATTCATCTTAAATAAATTTAGCTCTCATTGTTAAACCTTGATGTCATTCAGCATGGAAAAAAGTGGCTTAATTCAAAACAAAATATTAAGGGTAAGTCACAAGTAAAATTTTATTTAATGAACATGGTAGGACATCAGCGTAACTTGTTCAGTTCAATTTTTTTTTTTCAATCCTCACCCGGGGATATGCTTATTGATTTTAGGGGGAAGGGAAAGGAGGAAGAGAAACATCAATGTGAGAGAGAACATGGTTTGGTGGTTTTCCTTACATGACCTGACCAGGAATGGAACCCGTAACCTTTCAGAGTATGGGACGTTGCTCCAACCAACTGAGCCACACCAGCCACAGCCAAATTATATTTTAGTAGCAATCTATTGCTATATTAGGGGGAAAAAAAAGAACTGTGTTTTAAATCAGGCAAGCATTCTTGGTTGTACTGACATTTTTTACAAACATTTGGGGATGGGCATTGTATATAGGTTACTTTTTTCTTGAGTTGGGTATGGAATCTGTTGTAGAGAGGTACAAAATCCAAAAATTGAGATACTTGAGAAAGGAATTATTGTTAAATCTTTATCTCAATCTCAGCATTTTAAAAAGACAAATTTTATTTCTATACTTTTATACTTTGTACTCAAGCTTACAGATAGGATAAAACAGAATAATTTAATGGACCAAAATGACTTGGTTGAATAAGTTAACAGAAAGGGCTAACATAACTATGGTACTAAAAATGGAAAAATATATAATACAGTAGGGTCTTGACTTACGAGTTTAATTTGTTCCGTGACGGAGCTCGTAACTCAGATTACTCGTATGTCAAACCAAAAAGTGAACGAGTGAAACAGAACCTACACACACAACCTAGAGACAGAACATGGCAAAAGATCCTGGACAGAAACTGGCGAGAGAACCTGGCTACAGAACCTGGATAGAACATGGCAAGAGAACCTGACTAGAACCTGGTGACTGAACGTGGCTGGAGAACCTGGACAGAACCTGGCTGGAGAACCCAACGA